ACACACACACACAGCCCACTGACATTGCATTGTCGGAGGCTCGGAGTAATTCGCTTTTTGACAGCTCTGTGAGGGAAAAGGCCCTGCGATTACAGCGCACTAATGTTGCTAATAAGCACTGATGATGAAGTGCAGCCGGTCGCAACATGGGCAGAGCTAATGACAGGGGCGCAGGGCTGCTGAAAGGGCAGCCAGTGAACACCAGGGACAGGGACAAAGTTTTCTGCAAGTTGGAGAAGACTTATGACACCACTGTGCGCAGGGCCGGGCGAGCTGCCACCCATACGATGGGAGGGTAAACAACCATTTATAACCTGCAAACATTGAGAAGTTGATTGCTGACAGGATCAAAGACATGAGACTTGAAGGTACTATGTGTGTTTGTGTGCAGGCTATGTAAGACACAGTCATGTTCTATAATGTAGTACGGTATGAATTTGCAAGATCTGTTGGTGAATTGGTTAAGGGGTTGGTCTGGCCTCTATTAGGAGAGTGTTTACTTTGGTGCGTTGTATAGCGCCAGTGGTTCTCAATCCTGCTTCTGGAGATAATTTCCAGGGGTTGGCCTGTTACAATTAAAATAACACGTTGGTGGCAAGCAGCACAGAATTGGAGAGAAAAGGAAACAGTTCTCAGCATGTTCATCCCTTTAAGGCCTATCTACCTGACAGAACTCAAACACAGTTTACTAATCTATTATACTTGTATATTAGGATTTTATACATGTTAACAGGGGGCCCCAGTTACCACAGTAATTATCGAGCAATGTAATTTCTATCTCTGCTTATTTTGCTTTTTAGTTCCTAAACCCCAACCTGATTATTCTTGGGGGCCCTGCTTACTTCTAAAAGGTTAGAACCACTGGTATAATGCTTGGGACGGTGATCTTCTGGTCTGTGGTGTGTTCGTATGTGTTATGCTGCTTTGTCCATTCAAAGTCCAACAGGGGTCGATGGAAGGTCTGTGTTTTTAATCTACTAAGGGGATTGCTGGGGCGCTTCTAATTGTTGAAATTGCCTGGGTTTTCTTTTTTTTTTCATCGTTTATCGATTGTGGGTGGGTTTCCTTGGTTTATTATTCATGTGTGTGGGGTCTTGTGGCTGGATACCATTTGTGTGGTTTCTCAAGTTGGTTGAGTGTGTGGGTGGTGTGTACACACAGCCCGCACATATACATTTTAAGCATACTTCTAAGTTATAAGGGTCTTGAGTTTCTGTGTGGTGTGGTGGTGTGGGTGTGTGTGTGTGCGCGCGCATCAGATTATTGCTCCACTGCTCCTGGACTGACTGAGCCATAGTTGCCACCCTCCCCTGGGTATTTCTAAACCGATAAATCTCACTTTCCTGCTGTCCTCCTCTCTCTCCTCCTCTATCTGTCGTCCTCCAACTACCTGCAGCCGACAACTTCAGGTTGCTCCACATCTAAAGTTTTTACATCAGATTTCTCCTTCTATAAGGCCTTGTCATGCCCACAGATAATCTGGTATTCAAGGGAGCCACTGCTGTTGTAGGTGCATATGTAAGGCTCCATCATCATCACCATCAAGACTAGCAGTCATTAATAGTTAAATAGGTGACATTGAAGATTTATTAGCTTGTCAAACTGGTTCATGTTCATGCAAAGTCTATTAGGAGCTTGTGATGTTTACTTCAAAAATATGTTAGGCACGTTGTACCAGATTTTGCTCTTTCCTTCACCTTCCTTCTGTCCTTCACGCCCTATAGCTTTCATTACTTCCCTGTGGTCTAGTCATCAGTTGTGTCTGTTTTTCTTTTTCCTTTTCCCTGAGCACCTACTATGTTCTATATTTCTCTTTTGTGTTATCCTCCCCTCCTCCTCTTTCTTTCCATCCCTCCCCTCATCTTTAAATCTCACCTCTCTCCTTCGTCATTCATCTTTTACTATGGAAGCACATTGTGTTCAATTTGTCAAATAAAAAATATGTTTTTTAGTATTAAGTTCTTTTCTTATTAAAGTGATAAGGATCTTATTATGAAATCACTTCTGTTTCCTATGACATCATATATCACAATTATGTAATATTTTGTAGTTATCACCGTACCTTTTCTAATTTTGTAATCTCATTCATATAATGACATTATTATATCATTATTTTGAGATAATTTCTTATGATAAGAAGAATAATATCTGGTAATAATAATTGCCGCCTCACCCTCCCCTTCCAAGGGTTAAGGAGAAAGTATGTTGGCTGCCAAACGTGCAAAAACACCCCTAACCTGAGCCAGAATTTGGTTTGTGTCTTCTGGGCTACTTTAAAAACATAGAGGTTCAACATGGCTGCCTCCACAGAAGGTGATCTGACGCGTAAAAACAGCTCATTACAAAGATAACAACAATTCTTATTTTGATTGTGATTATATACTAATAAAAACATACCTATGAATATTATATTCAGTTTGTGCCTTCATAGATCCTCCTAAATGTTACACACTGGACCTTTAAAAGATGAATAAAAATTATGATCTTGTGTGTGATCCCCCTTCCCCTGTCTCACCCCTCTGTGCCTCTCTGTCCCTCCCTCCCTCTGTCCCTTTTTCCATTTCTTTCTCACCCGTCCTCAATCTCACCCACTTTGCCTCTGCTTCTGGACCTCTCTGCTCTCTCTTCCGTGTGCGTGTATGCATGTGTGTGTGTCAGCCAGTGTGTCAGCTCATCTTGTGGCCCATCTTGCCTTTTATTAGACATTGGCCACGGTTACATGCACATCATATTTCAGTTTTTGCCCTTATTCCGAAAAAGACAATATTCCTACTAAGCTGTTTACATGGCAATTCAAAATGGTATATTCCACTAATATTCCTGTTTACATGCGTGCATGCTCCGATTATACTAATTGTTAATGGCGTACTGTACACCCTTCGGAGGACTTTCCTTCCTTTTCCCTCTCTCCTTTTCAAACTGCAGTCATGTTGTGCTCCCGTGGTAAAAGTGCAACAGCTGGAGTTCTGCCAACACAGCCTCCCTCTTTCATTCGTTCAACCACCTTCTTGAAAAGTTTAAGGTTGTGACATTTGTCTTATTTGAAAAATGCTCTATTCGGAATGATGCCTAATTAGGAATATCCAAACAGAATATACTGTTGATACGACTCTTATCAAATGTGTAATATTTTCATCTTTGGAATAATAGTGGAAAATAATCTTTTTCACTCTTGAGTTTGCAGGTCCGAATAATACTGATGTATGTTTAATTATATTTAATGTTTAATGTTTAATGTTTATTTATATTGTTTGCATAAATAAACTCTTAAACTCAAGTAGGATTTAATAATACTCAAGGTAATTGTGTGACTCATTGCACTAAGTTCACATTTTTAAAAGTTTCACTTATCAGTCTTAGGGGAGCAATGTAATGTTTATTATACTATTTTGATGCATTGCAGCAATGTTAGTCAGTGCAATGTTATTCACTCGCCTATGTGTCTTGCAAAATATCTGCATTTCAAATTTGGCCAAACCTGAGGAAATCTTGTATCTCACTGCTTAATTACAGCATTGAACAGTTTTACTGATTGGTCCAGGGAGGAACGGCAATTATGAATCTTAACAAGGTGACATTTGTGACTGATTTGCTTAGACAGGGATTTCATAATTCATGGGGGACATGTTTAGTGTTGCCTTGTTTTTCTCCTTTTCCTCCTCTTATCCACAACTACATGCAACTGAGCTGTCCTCCTTCTGTACTTGCTCTCCCACTCTTCCTTTCTTCATATTTTTCCTTACTGTCCCTCACTCTTTTCCCTCCCCACTCACCCCCCTCGTTGATTGCCTTCCTTTCATCCCTCTCTCTCTCTCTCTCCTCTCCATCTATCTCCAGTATTAGTTTGCTGAGCTAGTATGACATATTTGTGTTGTTGTGTTCATGTGTGGTATTAAGTTCCTGTGTGTGTGTGTAGATGCGTAGCAACAGCCTATGGACATTTTTAGTTCATCTTTTGAGTTGGATTAAAGTGGTACTTTACAGGCTGTAACATGCTATACTCTACTAATGGGACACAACTTTTACTTAAGTGTACATATATGTGTGGTGGGAGTGCATAAACTGGTGTTATTACACCAACACTGACCCTGACACATCTAGACATCATCACTCTCTACCCATGCACAACACACACACACTCATACACGCGCATTCATGCACAGACGGGGACGTGGATTAAGCGGGACAATGCGTCTGTAATCATAACTGTAGTCTGCAAAGAGTCCAGTGATAATACCGCTGTGTGTTACTGCCTAATCCCTCCCCCCACATGCTAAATTCGCTGTGTGCCACATGCTAATCCTTCCCTCCAGCACTCATAACTTCTATTGTAATTAACAACTGCACAGCTTTACTGAATCACACAGAGATTGCGGGGAGACAGGGAAAGGAAAGGGGCGGAGAGATGGATGAGAGAAAAGTTTGCTAGGGGTGGAAGAAGAGGAACTGAAGGGATGGTAGACGGTGTGTGGGTGTTTTTATATGTGAATTGCAGCAACAAAGATAACCCTTTTTTTAAGTCAGAAGAGGATTGTTGTAATCACAGCAGTCAGTGCCTATTGATGTTTAGTTTTACCTTGTCAACATCATACTACATTGGTTTGCTATGTTAGTATAATTGAATGTAGTGCATTGAACATGTTTACCGGGTAGCTTTATAATCACATAGTAGCCTACGTACAGTGGGTACGGAAAGTA